CAAGCTCTAAAATCGTTATCGTGATACTCAATCTCATGATTTCTAAAATCGTTACTGTGATAATCACTCTCGCAAGTTCTAAAATCGTTATCATGATGCCCAGTCTCACAAATTCTAAAGTCGTTTTCGTGATAATCGCACTCACAAGTTCTAAAACCGCTACTATGATACCCACTCTTGCAATTTCTAAAATCGTTGTCATGATACTCAATCCCACAATTTCTGAAATCGCTGTTATAATACTCACCCTCATAAATTCTAAAATCGGTATCACGATACTCACTCTCACAAGCTTTAAAATCGTTATCATGATACTCGCACTCACAAACTCTAAAAGCGTTATCATGATACTCAATTTCATAATTTCGAAAATCGTCATCATGATGCTCAGTTTCACAATTTCTAAAATCATTGTCATGATACTCAATCTCACAAGTTCTAAAATCGCCAACAAGATACACTCAAGTTCTAAAATCATCATCATGATACGCTCGCTCAACTCGTGCTTTATTATCACGATTTGTTCAAGTAGCGTAGATTTTTGAAGAATTCAAACCCTCAAAGTAACACTGCAGTAACTAAAAACGCCAATAATCGTAATAGAAAAGAGGAGACCCGGGAAATTGACTGGAAAAGAACTGAGATCTTGCTTCGAGACAAGAAATGGAAGGGGGCAAAGCTCCTGGCGAGGGGGGAGGGCGAGAAGTACACAGATTATGATGCAAAGAAACCAGATGCCGGGTAATAACTAGGACCGTTTAAAGACGAGTCGTAAACGTAAAAGTGAGTAGCTCAAGAAAATTGAATATTTTATAGTTATGAAAAAGGTTGAAAACAAAAAATGGTAATTAAAAGTAAAAATAAAAAATTAGAATAACTGGCAAACGCATGGGCTGCCCGTGCGAAGATGCGTTTTTTGCATAGTCCCCCGCAGATTTTTGTCGCTAACGGCACTGTTTTTTCCGGCAAATGCTTCAAGCTAAAAGAATTTCAGACTGGCCGCCAGCACTGCCAGGAAACGTCCCCTCAAAATTCAAGTCTTCTAGCTTCTCAGGTTCCCGAGTTAGCAACTTATTCGAAAAAAACTTTCACGGGCCCATACGTAAAAATCACTCATACCAGGAGGTAAGGTTTGAGCTCATTAATATCTATGTGGATGGGGAACATTCCCTTAAAACTTCAGCTTTCCAGCGTTTCTGATTCCCGAGTTAGCAGCTTGCCCGTAAAAACTTTGACGGACTCGGACGTTGTACCATGCGGGCAAGAGTGCCCATTTTGGGGATTGGGCTCGTACGTGCATGCAGATTAAGTTCCCAAAGTTTCAGCCCTGTAGCTCTCACAGGTGTTGAGACGAACAAGTTGCTGCGGACACACACATACACACACACACATACACGCACACACATACAACCCCTCGTCAATATGTGTCTTCTGCATTGCATAGATGCAAAAAATGCATAAAAACTGGACACGCCGCGTGTGGCGCGGCCAGACTCCGAAAATCTAAACCTAAGTTTACTAAGGTGAAAATAATAATCTGCACCCGTTGGTAAGCTGAATCATAGTCTTAAAAACAAATGGAACGGTCCAAAGCAAATAATTTCGTAGACCTATGCCCCCATTCTAAAATCTCAACAGAAAACTCGGCACTTGTGCACAACTGTGATTTTCGCAATACACCCACCCAAACCCACAAACAAATGCATTTTCCTCAAAAGCGAGTCCATTTTGCGCGGCCCGGGATGGGCCAGGTTCCAGCAATTGTCGCAGGAAAGCAATTCCCCGAGGTATTGAGGTGCCGTTGCCCGGGAATCGTACCGAAAATAAAGGATCCTAAAGTGACCAAACATTACAACTGTGCGGGAAAGCGTCGTACCGCCGCTACCGCTTGTCGGCCAAAACACATCCACAAAAATCGATATTTCAGCATCGAGCAGCATGTGTTGATGCGTTTTGTTCGTTTCAGGATGCCAACTAACACGGGACGCTGGAAATAGCGAGAAATGGATCCCGGACAGAACAGAAGGGAACAAGCGTGCTAGTCAGAAGTTGGAGACGATAAATGGTGGCAGTGGTTGGGGGAAACACATTTCGGTCATGTTCGTCGAAAAAGCTCGGCAATTACTAAAACTCGACTCATCTCGGCCCAATCGGTGCCATACACGATTTGCGAAAAATTTCTTCTGTTGACAACGGGTAGAGTTGCCCCACGGTGGATGGCGGGGTTCCGGCTATGGCACGTGTGGAGAGGGGGGAGGGACGGTGTGGCGGGTTTCGTTCGGGGCAGGGTTGGAGGGCTGGTATAGGTGAATTTAATGGCGCTATAGCGTAGATTCCTTGTCGATTGACTAAGTGACATACATTTGAGGTGTGAGAGGCAACATGGGGGAGGGGGTAATGAGTGGAAATGAGGAGGGAGAGTACTGCTGCTGGTTTTTTGCCGCGGATACCCCGATAAGAAGGAAGGGGTGGGGGGCTTTTCCACAAAAATCGATTTGCTCTGTTAAAATGTGTTTCAGAAGTTTTAAAAATGCAAACAATGAATATCTCTGGCTCGGGGAGTTCCGGAAGAGGACCGGGGCCTGAAATCAATTTTAATTTGCTCACATTTCCTTCTTTATTCCCTTACATCTTACATAAACACATACCAACTAAAATTGAACTTAAAATCTGTAAAAGATGTCCTTTTCTACTAGAAATTATGTGCTCCCTCTCTTCAGCAATATCTAGGTGATGTGTTACAGATTATCAGTATGCCTGAACCCCAAGCAGCACCTGTGAAACCCGTAGATGCGCAGAAACCCGAAGCAGCTGTACTACGAAGACGAGGTATTGGGAATACATTGCCGGTTGGTTGGAAGCCCCTTTTACCGCCCAATGAAGCGGTACGCCAAAAAATCATGGAACAAATTATGACACGACGAAAAGAAGAGGAACGAGGTAAAAACCCTTACTTGAACGAAAATCCTTACTTTTTACATAAACACACATCATCTAAAATTAAAATTACAAAATAACGAGTATTAATCGTGATATGGGATATTAATCTCGCTCTTTCTCTTTATTACCCACTTAACTTGCATTATTACTTTATCTATTCCATTCTAATAAAACAATTTAAATTTTAATCAAATTCATACTAATTATTAAAATCGTCGTACTGATGAGGTCCAGTTGTGGTAATGGTAAGAAATGTATACGATTTAATGGACTGAAACATTCCTTATCTATAACAAATATTTCTTTAGACCGCTCACCTATTTTAATATCCTCTCCCTCCTTTTCATTGTTTCCTTCTCCTGATATTTTCCTTTTAACCTTTAATGGACCGAAATATTCCCTACCATTAAAAATATTTTTTCAAAATCTTATTAGTTCTTCTTTTAACATAAAAAATATTTTTTTTTTAATTATTTATCTTATTATATACTTGATACGATGTTTCCGTCATTGACACGCTGTTGATCTTCTCCAGTGACTGCTGAGCCGACAACAACCATGCCACCGAGTTCTATCCTGAGCTCGCCTCATCCACAATATTCCAATATAATCGAGTTAGCGGACCAGCGCATCGGTGGCTTCCTACTGGCCTTTTTACATGCCTTGGATAAATACTGTTCGACAACGCGTTTCATCCATCTGTTGTCCGTCTTCCTTGCTACGTGACCGGCCCAGCTTCTTTTCCTTGCATGCATCTATTCTTTTATATCTTTCACATGAGAACGCAATCGAAACTCATTGTTGCGTATATTCTGTGCTGTCTTGAAACCCAAAATTCGTCTTTCTATCAAAAAAAAAAAATTCACAATATTGTAATACAATCACAATATAAAAATATAAATAATCAGATGAACAGGAATGCTTCGGTCCATTAAATCGCATATATTCCTCTTTAGCATCACAGCTGAATTTCGTCAGTACGATGGTAGTTGCGGTATTGGTATGTGCCTGGGGGGTGAACTTTTTTCTGTTTGCTAAAAAACTGATTTTCAGATCGAGCACAACGCGCAGCACGTGCGGAAGAACGTAAAAACGAGGAAGAGAAACGTGCATGGCATAAAGAGCAGATTGTTGAATGCGAAAAAAAAGTAAAATTTCCCGGTTTGCTTGAAAGTTACAGCCTCGCAGTTTGTACGATAAACGAAATAGCCACTTCGCTACAAATAACTTTGAAGGCCCTAAGTCATGGCGCAAGTGCAGATCGAAACTCGCTTGAGCAATGCTATTTTCCAGATGGGTGACAAGTGTTCTGACATATTTTCAGTTACTCTTTTCTAACTAATGTCTCATAATATGCCATATAATGATTTATGGTTTTTTGAAAATGGCGGAAGGAACAATTGCATCACTGTAACGCATTACCCCGGTCTCCGGTTCAGTCTTTGGACATCCTACCCCGTTAAAGTTTTGCAGTCTTAGACATCTCTGACCACTGGGGTATAAAAGCACTTCTCCCCATTTCCGGGATCCAGAGTCACTCCTTACTACTCAGTCCTGTTCTGGGGAGCCGATGCTTCCGATTTTCTAGAACCTTGCCACCTTTTTTTTGTTTTTGTCTTTATCTCCCTTACCTGTTTTGTTAATAGTCCAGCATACGGTTACTTCGATCCATCGACCGCACATAGTAATCTCTGACCACTGGGATATAAAAGCGCTTCTCCCCATTTCCGGGATTCAGAGTCACTCCTTACTACTCAGCCCTGTTCAGAGCCATTGGTACTTTTTTCATTTTTCACTACATTTACAGCTCCAGCAACTATATGCGAGACGGAAGGAGCTAGATGAGGCACGAAGTAAACTATTTGCGCAGCTAAAAGAAGTGATAGCAAAATCGTCGGATCGAGCCCAAAGCCAACATGCCGCCCTTTACAACCAGTTAATTCAGTCGCAGACACGAAACAAGGTGAAAAGAAAAACTTTTGCATTTAAGGGTCAGATTTTTTTCGATTCTTTTTCCTTTTCGTCCACTCTTTTATCTTGAAATATTTTCATGATTTTTTCTTTCCTCGACAATCAAAACAGCTGACATTTCATCGTTTTGTTGCTTCTTGTATCACCAGCGATGCATCTACCGGTATTTTCTCCATTCTTCTCTGTTTCGAGCTTTTTTTTTCTTGTTTATGCAACTGCGTATAACTCTTCAAAGGCATTTTTTGGCTTCTGTAACTGTCTCCGTAATATCTTCTTAGCATTACGTAAGAATCAGTTTGGCAAATCGTCTTTTTTTTCCACTTTTCTTTAGCAAATCATTTTTTTCCATTTTTTCTTAATTTTTTTTTTAACTTCTTATATTGTTTTGTTCCATATTTACTGACAATATCAAGACCGCCTGGGTTGTCAGCGTGGGTTTCCCATATCTGTGATTTTAGTGGGATGCAAATTTTTCTTTAAAAAAAAACATTTCTTAAAAAAAAAACATTCTTCCCTGACTTTTTTCCACTTCCTGGATAGTCCTCTGTGCATCGGGAAAAATATTCTTCAAGAAATCACCGGGGAAACCGGTTTTCTGTGTGTCGCTTTTTTCAAAATTATACATTTTCCAGTAGCAGAGTTTCACCCTCTCGATGAATTCTGTGCTTTCTAGGAAAACGATCCAGACGCCGTGCCCGTAGAAACACCCGGCCCAATAAGTCGTCTGTCAGTTAGTAATCTGCAGAATACCGGTGCTACATCAGTGGTGGTGACCAGCGGATACTCCGTTTTACCGGTAAGCTTTTCATATTCCACCAGCTTGCTTACAAATAGCCCATCGAAAGAAAGAATTATTTTTGCCAACGAGTGGTTGCTTCTGTCAAATACTGTAAACCAGGCTATTTTTGCGTATTTTAATATATTCATGCTAATTACCACAATCTTCGTGCTGATGAGGTCCAACTGTGGTAATGGTAAGAAATGTATACGAATTAATGGACCGAAACATTTTTTACCATTAAAAATAATTTCCAGTACATTTAAAATTTTATTAATTTCTTTTCAACATTGAAATATTTTATTACCTTTAATGGCGAGTGAATGAGGAGGAAGGGAGGGGGTGACTAAGAATTTTTGCGTTCTTCCGCATCCGTGTCCGTACCACTGCCAAAGCCTATCTTTAGTGATTTTTGTGAAGTGTTTAATGATGACATACATAAAATATGAAAATTAATTGTCAGAACAGGATTGTTTCGATCCATTTCGAGGATTTCACTTGAATCTAAAGCAGGGAGGAATAGGAATCTTTGGAATTGTTTGGGATTTTCAATTGAGAGGTATTGAAATGCTACAAAATTCTGATTATATGTACACCTTTTGCATCATTATCTTACACCTACAATGCTTTTAAAGGATATTTTAATGACATCCATCAGTTGTTTGCGAAATTTACATGCTTCCTCGCTCAACATACCTCACATCTCCACCCACCTATTGAAAAAAAAAAGTATTCCGGAAGTGAGCTTTTTGCGTCAAAATTGAACTTTGATGTATTTTACTACTCATTTGCATGAATTGTTGTGTAATTTGAACAGATTTGTACAGGGATTTTTGCCTGATTCAGACTATTTTTCGCTGTTTGAGGAGGAGGGGAAGAGGAGGTGGGAGGGGGTGTTTTTTTGAGGTCTGTGAGGCATCATTTTTGAGTTAACGTCATCCAACCCGCTGGAATTGTCATAATCTCCTAAAACCATGAAGATGATTCATCTCAGTGCTGTTATTTTTGCTTAACTTTAAATATTTCTCGACAATTTTAGATGCACCAGCTT